GAAAAATAGTGGATCGAAGAACAGACGATCTTATTGTGCGAAATTATTGCAGTACCGCCGGAGCAGCTTAGCATATTGGACGAAGGCGGAAGGACTCATATTCCGTATTACGTGCTGGGCCCGTACACCGAGGGCGCCTCCCTCAATATTACCTGCGTCGCTGCTGGTGGTGAGTAATATTTCTGTTTCACTTGAATCAAACGTATTTTTCTGTATATATCTGGGCGATGTTTCGTTTTACGGTTTAACTCCTTGCCCTATGATTTATTTCTCATCGAAATCTATGATCGATACAATTTTGTTATTAATAATTTATTGTAAAAAGAGAAAAATTTTATGTATATCCTATGCCCACGTTTATTCTAGAGTATAATAATTGATAACGTAAACATAATATTTTATTTGAATGCGCAAGAATTGAGTAATATTTATTTTCGTTTAATTCTGTTTAAAATCGTCATCGCGAGTCTCACGCGTTATTGTAAGGCAAGAGGTTAATAAAAGTCAATAAACAAAAGTCTGGAAAACAAGCTATAAGACTTACATGAATTAATGTTGCTTTTGGTTATTTTATATTACTCTTTCTACCCTGTATTTTCGAATATTTAGTCGCCTTCCGTATTATTATTTTTGTTGCGATTTCTCCTTTTGGCACTTCTGTCGCCATCAACGGAATTGCCACGTCTTGCTTTATTGATTTCTTTCCAACTTCTTCCGTTGAATTTAGTCAATTTTGAGATATCTTGTTCAATTTTAATGAAATATATTGTTAAGAATAGATACTATGAAATATTATATTATCTGACAAATTTAACGTTAAATAACAAATTGATTTTCGTTATTGATGGTTTCACTCGATCCAAAAATAATGTGAAATATACGCTAATCCCGGTAATATTTTTACTGCGCCGTGTTTTGCACACTCGCGTTCTCCACATCTGCATGAAATCCGCGGACTGCTTGTAACTTACAACGGTACTACAGATTTCGTGAATTTATTATACCGGTGAATATGCAAAAAACGATAAATTAAGAATTTCAAGAGGATTTGATTTAATCTTCAATGTTTTCTCGAACCCCGTACATTTTTGGCCGAAGTATATGCACGGAAATAACATAACAGTAAACAAAGCGCTAAAATTCCAACAGTGACGCACAGAAACTCTTCCTATTAAAAATTCGAATTATGCGTCGGAGCATCGAATATTAAAACAAGAAAAATCCACATATAAACGTCTCCCAATTTAAATAATCAAGTTATTCATCTGCAACGCTATTACGACGACAATCGATCGCAAAGAATTAACTCTAATTACAATGTTCAAACCAAGCTATTTCTACAGTATCCTCGGTGAAAATTAAAAAATGTCATAATATTTCTTAGATCCCCACTTTCCTCTTTAGAACAAAATTTGTATCTGTTCCAAATGCAACAATCTTAAGGTAGTTTCTCTCAATTTATTTATTAAAATGTTTAACGTTGTAAACGGTACCGTGATGAAACCTACAAAGTGCAAAGGGTTCACACTAGAACCACCGCCCTTGTAAAAGTGACCGTTAACAATTTTCTTATTTCGCAATTATTGATATCTTGGAAGCGTTAAATATTCGAAATGATTTGAAAAATAAAGTTTCATATCAGTATTATGATAAATATGCAAAAAATAAAAAAGAATCTATTGATACAGTTTTAACCAGATAACTGCGTTTGATGAGTATACACGTTATCTTAAAGCTTGAAGTGATACTAATTCCTTCAAATTGTTTCAATACTAATTTATTCGTCCTGCGTTTGAGGAATACATACTTGAAGTTTTGATTTTATTGTGCGCAAAACGACAGATTTTACAAACTAAATTCCACAATTAACAGGTTAAAAAGGATCACACATTAATAGTATTGTGCGTTTGGTAGTTCCAGGATGAACAAACAAATTTGAAAACCGATCCTTGAGATTGAGATATCTCGAACATCCCGCCGCTTTCTCTTTATCGTTAAAATTTCTCTCCTCCCCAGGATCCATCTGTTCGTCCCACGCCCTAAGTTTGCCTCTTTGTCAGGCAACAGTCTCAGCGAGAGACGATATTGGCAGTTTACCCGTTCGAAGTAAAGATTCGGCTCGCACAAAGGTCTCCGTGCGTTTTTCGTCCCGCGGGACTCTTCAAATTTTCGTTCGGGTCGTTGCCACTCACGTCCGCCATCTCTGTAACCCGCGCCATCTTAGCTCCCGCGCCCAGAGTTTATTAGCCGCGCGTTTTAAGGCGGTAACCTTATATCTCTTTGGATTTGCATGCGAAAAAGCTTCCTTTTCCTACCCGGCCGAGCCGCACGCTCCTCTTGTCTTTGCTTCCTTCTCCTTCATCCTCCTTTTCCTTCTTTTCCCTCCCTTTTTCTTTTGCCAAGGAGCTGCGTGAGATTACGGGCGTCAGTATTTCTCTCAAAGTGGAATTCACGGCAGGAAGCTGAGTTTTAAATTGATTAATCTAATAAAAAAAAAGGACAACGTCAGTTGCTTTCATATATTTTCTCGCCGAGCGCCTTGCCACCGCATCGCAAGGAATCTTTATTTATAAAGATCGTTCCACCTGGATTTCATTCGCGGGAAATATCTTCACGCGGATCGTCCGCGATGGAGGTAACGTTTGCGGAATGAAAATTATAAATGGAGACACCGAAGTAGTAGTAATCCACTGAGAACGTTTATTTGAAATATTATTACCTGATTTCTCACTGTCTCCAAATGTTTGGTTAAGGATTCGATGCTTTAAGGTTGACGTCATGAAATTATACTATTACAATATTTTTATTTTGCGGTGATGTTGTCGCGAATATTGTGGTACGTAAATTTCGGAGCGCCGCTATAAATACATGTAACAACGTGGAAGGATTCCGCGGAAAAAAAGAAATCAGAAGGGTTTTTATACATTCTGGATGTACCGGGAATATGTTGAAATATATTTTAAGGGTACTGAGGGAGCTCAAATCGAGCAAGAAATATTCCATCTTCCTCCCTTCCCACCCCGATAATAACTAGACTGTGCGCTACTTTAGCCATTTATAACATTTACGTAGGAAACAACATTAAAATGGAATTTTTATATAAAGAAAATGTGAATTCTAGAAATTTCTCTATACATTCAATGTCCGCTAATACCGCTTTAATCTTCTATCTATCAAACTTTCCTGTCTAAAAATGAAAAATATGAATTTTTCTGTGTAAATATTTCTTTTCGTTGAAATATACAAACTTCGTTATTATTTTAGACAGTAACGTTTCAACTTACCATATATTATATTAATAAAAAAGAGAATGTAAAAAGGAATGTGTCTAAAAATCTGATCGTAGAAAATAATGAGATCATAGTAGCTTATAGTTTAATATTAAAGACATTTTTCATTTAACGTTACACTACAAATATCTGCGTTTGTAAATTCTTCGTAGGTTCATTATGATCTTTATACATTTCATCGCATTTCCCGTGGTTCAGATATTTTCCATTGAAGTTATTATTCGCCTTTATTTAAATGTAAATTTCGTTGGAGATTTAAAATCTCGGTTCTAATTTTGTACGTTTCACTTCGTATACGAAATCTCGAATAAAATTCGAATATTTTTTCCACGACATTAACAATTCGGTTTTCATGGAGATGCTGATTAAAAAATGTTCTTGTTTCATTTTCACGTAACGTTGAATAGAAGGTATACTTGTTAACGTGCTCATTGTCGGCTTAATTATTAGCGAAGTTCCTTTAGTCATTTTGCAGGAAACGTAAATTCTTAACGATTTCATGATTTTCCATTTCTGCAAATAAAAATAAGAGTTCGCAGAGGATTTTGTTACAGATAAGAACCCTTTTGCCCATAGTTCAAAAGAATTTATTCCGCTTTTATGTACATAAAATTTTATGTCGCAGCTAAAACTTTGTTAAAGAGAACAAATTGTATTCTCAATTACAAATGTCCTGTTACCCGAGTTGTGCAATAATACTTTCTAATTTATAATCAGGAAATTGCCTCATTTTTCTTTGCCCCAGTAGAAATTTGTCGTGTCCACACACATATGCAAGTAAATAAATTTTTCATTTTTACGTTCCCTCTTTTTTTTCAATTTCGCAAGATTAAACCGCATTTCAGCAAATATTGATTTTCTCTCCTGTTTACAATTCAAAGCCATTAAAACGGGGAAAAGAAAATCGAAGTGGATTTCGAGATAAATATTTATTGAACTATAGCAGTGAACGCAATGTTTTTGAAACAAAACGAACGCAATAAATTGCGTAGTCCCAACTAATGCAAACAATTTCGAACTTTACTTAAACCTAGTGCTTTCGCCTGCGGATTTTACAATTGTAAATGACTGCTATAAATCCAATATATCGAATTAAACTATCAGTAACTTTTGTCGAACAATATAAAAATCGAACGAAGTACAATCAAAGCATTATAAAAACAAAACATTGAAACTGTACGTCCATTGTTCAATTTCTTACTAATAATCTATTTAAAAACCGTTAAATTGAAAACAACGCAAACAGTAACATCAAAAGTTACAAAAATTTCTCCTATCGCTGAAACTCTAGTTTCGCAATGTTTCAAGCATGCGAGTGTTATAAACAAACGGAATCGACAACAGAGAGGGAACAAGTGTATCTTCACAAATCTCGCGTTCGCAAGGATGCCCAAGAAAAAATTGGTAACGACACCAGCAATTCCGTTATTTATATTCAGCTAATAAATTTCTCACGAACGGATGACACGTAACCGAGTAGACAGAGGCGAGTGTGTCCTCTGAGCGAGATCTCTATCGCGTGTGCGCGCCCCTGGAATTTCCCATCAGCGAAACAACCCCGGAAGTTGATACCGCTTCGGGAGCGCGAAGTATGATTAAAATGAAAATTTAATAGTGGTACGGATACAGTAAAGAAGATGAAGCACGCGGGCGTTGCGTTGTGTATTTCGCGGCCCGCATTCCCGGCTGCATCTTGCACGCCGCACGTTTATCTTGCGACGTCTTCTTCGTTCGCGTCTCTCGCTTGCTTTGAGGCGCGATACGCACAGGCCTCATACTGATTTATATACAAAACCGCACGCATGTGCCGCTGATGCTAGAAAACAAACACTGAGCCGGATAACGCCGCCAAGAACAAGAACAGATCACAGGGTGGCAC